TATTTGTACAAATATACAATTATATTTATATTTATACAACCAAACACATGTTATGTACAATGCTGTTTTCGGAACATGAAAAAAAACTGCTGACAAGTCGGCTATTTCCTGAGTGGGTAATTTATGAAACTCTTATGCCAAGCCCTTACGAATTATAGAACTTTTTTTCTTTTTGAGTCGTATCATGTAATGTGACATTTGCATTGTGAAATAGATCTATAGATCAACAGTTAAAATTGGGAGGCTCAAAATGACTTTCTTTTAGGACCAGGTAACTTATGAGCAGCCGTCACTCACATACTGTACTTGCACGTGTGTTTTTCTTTTTCAGTTTGTCGTGTAAATTTACCACTAATATGTATTAAAATTGCTAATGATCTTGACAGCGTTAATTTTTAATCTTTTTATGCGCGTGTGCTTTTGTTGTTTTGTTGTTGTTGTTGTTGTTGTGGGGGGGTGGTGGGCTTTTTGGGGGCTGGTTTGTTTGCTTGTTGTTGTGGTTGTTATGTTTTCGTATAGTATTAGTAGCCTACAGTTTGTAGGCCTACATGTATTTAATCTATCGCAACTGTGTGTATACAGTGCTTTTGCGTCTTGAAAGTATACAAGATGCTGGTACAACTTTGCCTGGTAGACATAGAGGCATAGGGAGCAGATTGCCCAAGTAGGCTACTAGATCTTCCCTCTCTTCAGGTCCGGAATTCGTTGGAATGCTCTCAAACGAGAGATATTGTCAATACGTTGGGAATCAAAGAGGTTCTAATGAATGTCTTACGACTGTATTTTGTAGGCGTGATGGAGGATAATCTTTTTTTTTTTTTTCATTTCAGAGGCCGGACCTCTTAATTTAGCATCGGTCTGAGATAGGAACTGTGCACGAAGGTATGGAGCCATGAAGAACTCGAATTCAAAACCATTTCATTGCGGATTGGAACCAACGTCATCCGAACCATGGTCCGGCATAGCAAGATACCAACTGAGCTAACGGTTTGCTCTCTAGTTGCTCTGTGGTTTTCTTCTTCAAGCTGATAACAAAGAGATTGGAAGCATGTGGGCGCTATCCTTTAAAAACCTGTCCTTTTCTCTGTCTCTGTCTGTCTGTTAGTCTGTATGTCTGTCTATCTGTCTGTCTATC